AGTGAGTATGTGTGTGTGTGTGTGTGTGTGTGTGTGTGTGTTCAAAATATATTACACTGTTCCTTCTATTACATCCCAGGCTGCGATTTCTGTGTTGGAAGGAGTTGGAGTCTGCCCCTGACTACAAACTGACAGTGAGCTTCCCGCTGTTCTTTGTGATGGTCCGAAAACCCAACAGACAAAAGATGGTAGAATAAAATACACCGTTACTATTTTTATAGTAACAAGCATTTCAAACTATACCTTCAGTTTAAAAAAAAAAATTGTTTCTTAACGTTTGTATTCAGATTTTCTACACCTTTTATTGTAGTTTTTATTAAATATTTCGTTACTCAGCCCAACTTGTCTCTTGTTCGAAACAACAACACCCCCCCACCAACAAACCACACCCTCCCCTCCCCCCCCCCAACAAAAAAAACTAACTCCAAACAAAAAAAGGGGGATGTGTCTGTCATATTTTAGTCGGTCTCTGTGTTGTGGATCTGATGACCGAGGTGATGTTTGTTTTACCAGCGTCTGCTTTATTGGAAAGTTCTTTACCGTCGCACTTGCACGCAAAAGACGTGATTGCAACTTTAATCAATAGCAGCAACAATAAAAACAACAACAAATCATTTGAAGGGTAATAAGGATGACTGAATTTCGAGATCTAAGCACCGGACGTAATGCGATTGAAACTTTTTAAAAATGTTAATTATTGTGCCTTACTATAACTAAGGCAGTCCGTTAATTAAGTATTATGTTGAAAGATAAGGTAATTTGCCTCAATGATTCATTGTCCATAATTTAATTGGATGCATAGTTAACGTAAAGACTGAAATACAATGAGGATATAAGGAAGATAACCCAGATATTGCTGATGGGAGATTGACATAACAGCTATTTCCCCTGAATAGACACGCCTGCATCAGTCGGGCCAAGACTGTGGGAAAATTCTCATTGCTTTCTTCCGTGTCCTGCCTATAATTTACCTTGTTACCAGAATTAATGTTGTTTGGTTTTCTTGTATGGGTAAGGACAGAGGTATTTCCCCTACAATGTCAATCTAGTTCAGCATGATAGTATTACACACATAGGGAAAGACACATATACACGCAAACACACACACACACACACACACACACACACACACACACACACACACACACACACACACACACACGCAAACACCCATACACACACAATTCAAACACACAAAAATGGTATATATAGTAGTGCCGTGTGTATTATGACTTCAGAAATTAAATTACGTATTTAATAAAATACAATTCATTTTTCATTTATATGTTATTTGCATGAAAAGTGCATCTTTGTCTGTGTGGGTTTTGTAACGTTTGATACACATATACTGTTGAATAAAAAAAACTTAAAGAATTATTGTCTGCCTATAAAACCTTTTGTCCTGAATATCACGCGTGTGACTCAGATAATAAATATACTACGATGCTTCGACTAGAAACCTCCAGACCCCGATGTGGGGACTCACGTGGTCTAGAGCTTAAGGTGTTCGCCTCTCATTCGATAGGTCCCCTGTTCGGATCCGATAGCGACGGAAAATTTTCTTCTTAAAAAATTTCACCTTTCACATCCTTTCCTGCTCCCTAACGATGTTCTATCGTCTGCTTTCGTCTCCCCTTTCTGCCACCACCCCGTCACCTCCTTTCTCCCCTCCCCTAGGCTCCTGACTCTTTCTGCAGCATTTTTATGCTACTCCTTGGCTCCTTATTACTACTGTCTTCCAGGCACACCTATGTCTTTTGGAAGGTAGGATCTACACCCAGACTTCTAGCTCTGATAAATGCAAAAAATCTTGGAGGTCCCGCGTGCAAGTTGCGAACTTTGAATATCAATTGGTGGTTCAAAATCGATAAGAGTAGACGTCGGCCGCAACCCGGCAAAATTCAAAATTTCTTACCAATTGAACATGTTTAATGTGTTCCAGGCGCTCATATGACCTTTTGCAGTAGAGAGCGGCGAAAAACACTTTCCAAAAAAAAAATATTATTGCATTGTTGCGTTCAAGAAACAAAAATAGACTGTAATTGAAAGCTACCTCACCTCACTGTCGCAATGTAAAGCTGCTTATTTTATTGTTTGTCTGATCTACACACAGGACCCAGGTGTACACAGTACGCAAGACATCACAGACTATTATTAACACACCCAAACCTTTGTTCAAGTGTACACACAATCTAAGCCCCCTGACACCATCCAAGTAACACAGCTTAGTTTAAAACAAGCAAAAAAAAAAACCCCAAACAAACAAGACAAAACAAAAACAAAAAACCCTCAGAAAAACCCAACAACAAACAAACACAAAAACAACGACAAAACAACAAAACAAAACAAACAAACGTGGGTGGTTGGCGGGTTCTCTGGTGTGGTTTGCATCTTCTTTCCTATCAAAGATCTATTGTTCTTATCGCCCCTCCTTCTTTTTTGTTTGTTGCTCTCTTGTAACACCTCTAATCTTCTGGCGCTCATATGACCTTATGCAGTTGCGAGTGCCTTAAAACCTCTACTAAGAACAAAACAAAAAAACAACAACACCAACAACACCAACAACAACAAACCCAGAGGGCAACGGAAATAAGGTGGGGGTGGGGTGGGGGATGGGGGGGGGGGGGTGTAATGGGGGCAGGGCGTGCCTAGTCTATGCTTTGGTCTGGAGCCTTAAGGCTGTGTAAATCAGGTGTCAAGAATCAAGCGATGCCAAGGAACGTCGCACGGTGCGGCCTCAGCCCCCGAGCCTAATAGAAGTATAATAATTTTTTTGTCTCGGCCTTGAGCCATGCAAGGTCAATGTCCCAGTTGTATTCAGACTGTGTGAAATTAAGCGCCGGGGCTTAAGGGACAAGCCAATGGAATTTCATTCTTCCCAACAGAACGCGAGCTCAGGGCTTTCTTGTCGAACCTCCATTTATTAACACTGAAAATGTGACTTCATCTTGAGCTCGTTCTTTGTTATGAACTGTTTTCACTGTTTTTGAAAATGGAGATACGACAAGAAAGCACTGAGGTCGCGAGAAGGAGTGCCTTATTGGATGGAGCTCTAATAGTCGTAGTAAATCTTAACAGTTAATGACACCCAGATCAACCAGATCACTTTTCGAGAAACGGCGCCTCGGGAGTCTCGTTTGGGTATTCGTGGGGTGGCGCATTTTATCGGAATATTAAGTTTGGTCCTTTTAAAAATTGTTGTCAAATATTTTGTTTTTGATTTTAGACGGAGAAGTAACTTCTTTTCTGTGAAGAATCATCCGAGGCGGGGCGGAAGCTGCAAGTCCTATCTCACAATAAACCAACCACTGTCAGGTTCATCAATTTGCTTATGACAGTCCTCCACAATAAAGGTTCCCACGTACTTTTGAGCACCGGCACCACTCGCCTCGAAATGTAACAGTTCTAGCTATGAATATTATTATTGGCGCTAGATCAGGGCTGTTGAATCAGTTGTAAAGGTAACAGTGAATGTTTTGCCCTTCCATCATAGGGAGCGGGGGAGGGGGGGGGGGTGGCTGTTATAGCTAAGAATATTATTGTCATTATGGAGGACATGCTTGCTCTTGTGTTAATCACAACATTGATATATTGCAATTTATAAATCTTTTTTTATTTTTTTGAATGCGCGTTGTACCATAACTCATGAAAAACAAGTGTTGCAGCTGTTGCTGATGTTCTCTTTTTGGATGATGATGATGATGATGATGATGATGATGATGATGATGATGATGATGATGATGATGATGATGATGATGATGATGATGATGATGATGATATCATTTGTGTTTGTTCCTGATAAAGCCCGTCATCGGGCGAAACGTTGAACTTATATAAAATTTTAATATTTTTGGAAATTCTACAAGTCTTAACCCTTTCTTTATTCTCTGCTGTTTACAATGGCGATGATGATGATGATGATGATGATGATGATGATGATGATGACGATGATGATGATGATGATGATGATGATGATGATGATGATGATGATGATGATGATAACATTGCTAATGATGATGACGAAGCTTATGGGAACGCCGATCTAACTTTGACTTTTTACAGATATTTATAGTTGTGATTTATTTGTGAACCAGTGTCTCTTGTTGTAATTCTTGTTAACACAAGATGAAAAAATCAAATTGGAAATGTATGACAAAAACAAAGAAAATAATAAATATATACCAAACCCTTAAAGTACTTTTAAAAAACGTACTAGGGGGCTCTCGTGGCCTAGAGGTTAAGGTGTATCCGGGTTGAGACCGAAACATTTCCTTCTCTAAAATTGTCTCCTTTCACCTCCTTTCCTGCTCTCTAGCAATGTTCTGTCGTCTGTTTGCGTCTCCTCTTTCTACCTCCACCCCCTCACACCCTTTGCCCCTTCCTCTGGGCTCCTGACTCTTTCTGCAACCTTTCTACTGCTACTCCCTCTCTTCTTGCTGCTGTCTTTCAGCCACACCCCTGATCTTCTGGTAGGAAAGATCTACACCTAGCCTTCTCGGACAAGGGCAAAAAATCTCGGAGGTCCCGTGTGCAAGTTGCGCACGTTAAAGATCCCTTGGTGGTCTAAAATCGATAAGAGTAGGCTTCGGCCTCCACCCGAGCAAAATTCAATTTTACTACCAACTGAAAAAGTTTAATGTGTCCCGCGCGCTCATTTGACCTTATGAAGTTTCGAGCGCCGTAAAATACTTACCAAAAGAAAAAAAAAAAAGAAAAATACGTACTTAAGTAAAACTTTAAGTACAATCTAAAAATGTACCTTTTAAGTGCTTTCCAGAAAAATGTACTTGCGTACAAATACTTTTAAAAAAGGTACATATGAGTACATTTTGAGTGCTTTCTGCTAATACGCTAAAACACTTAACTGCTAATTGCTAATTATGCCAAACAGCAAAATAACAAATCCAGTACATTTGACAAATTAGACCATTTATTACTAAAAATGTTAACAGTAAACAAAACATTTGAAAATATAACACTGAAAATGCGTGCAAATGGCCCATGAAATTGAAAGCAAAAAAACAAAACATAAACAGACGCAACTAGTGAGTAAGTGATATTATCAATAAAACTTGCTAGAGCAAGACTGTGTAAAAGTGTGATCAAAAGCGAGCAGCACTTCACGTTACAACAGACGGAAAATGAACAGATGAGCAGTTGAACGTCTCTTTCAACACGTTAGTTCTCCAATACACATATATTGACGTCAAATCACAAACGTTTCAAACACATTATGTCAATAAAGTTAGATCTTGAAATCCATTCATCTTGAAGACCCTTCCATTTGTGTTGCTGTTTTTATTGTTGCTGCTACTGATTTAGTTACATTAACGTTCCCTGTGTGCAGCAGTGAAGAGCCTTCTACACCATCACAGTCGCTGGTCATAGAAACATTACATGGGTCAACAGATCCACAACACACGAATACACGTAAAGTACAAAAGAGAGCCCCCCCCCCCCCACCACCACCACCAAAACCACACACACTATAGACAGATTCTGCCGTGTGAAAAATATCTTTTATAAGAACTTTCAGAAATACATGTATAAAAATCTGAACACAAACGTAAACATTCATTTTAAAGGAAACAGAAAATTGCAGTTTGAAATGATACTACTTATAACGTGTTTTATTGTTCCTTTTTTTCTCAGTTGGGTTTTCGGCCTATCACATAGAACAGCGGCATAATTACCGTCAGTTTGTAGTCAGGGTCAGACTCCAGCTCCTTCCAACACAGAAACCGCAACCTGGGGTGTGATGAAAGGAATAGCGTAACATACTTTTGAACACACACACACACACACACACACACACACACACACATACACACACACAAACACGCACACACGCAAACACACACACAAAGACGCATACACACACATACAAACACAAACACGCACACACAGACATACACACACATATTTAAGTGCCAAGGCTTCTTCTACTTCTTCAAGTTCCAGATCTGAAACAAGAGTCGATGATCATGGTTTGCCACTAACTTTTTGGCACGGGTGCTCTCGCGAAAAACGTTTAGATCTATAATTATTACAACTGTTATCCCAGTTTATTCTCATCACCAATCTATTCAAGATCTTGAAGCCATTCTGTTTCTTCACCTCTTGCCTTCTATTTTTCCTAGTGAGTGAAGCGTACTATGAATTGCCTTTGTATCTTCGCTCACATGATCTCAAGTGCCGTTTTTCCGTTCTGATGATCCCTGATCCCCCCCCCCCCCATGAAACGTACAATTGTGCTGCTTCTTTTACGACATTTTGCTCTTCCATTGACGGCATTATTGGTGTCTGTGGTGTAGCTGCTAGACACTAAACCGCCGCATGCAGGAGACACGAGTTCGATTTCGACTGGAGAGAATACAAATTTCTATCGGGTATCTCTGTCTGTCTGCTAGAACTTTGTAGCGCCTTCAGCCCGGATTGGTCCGATTCCTAGATGATCTAAGTAGTGTGGATGGGCTAGTGAAACTTCTACAATTACCATTTTTGAACTGATGGCATTGTGCTATTTCTTACGTAGTGGAGATCTGCATAGATCATAACATTGTGCTTTTCCTAATATTCTGATGATCTCCCATGAAAATCAACATTGTGCTATTTATAATGTACTGGTGATTTCTCCTGAAATTATTGTAATAATTATTGGGATGTTCGTTACGTTCTCATCTCCTTCACTGAAATATCACATTGTGCTATTCTTTACGTTCTGATGATCTCCCCTGAAATATGACACTGTGCTGTTATTCCTTTGATAACATAGTGCAACTTTCTATTTCTTTCTTTGTGGTATTCCTGACGTACTGATGGTCTTCCATGAAACATAAACACTGTCGTGCTATCCCTTTGACTGTATTGTTAAAATTCCTTACGTTCTGATAATCTCCCCTGAAATATAGCATTGTTCTATTCCTCACGTTCTGATAATCTCCCCTGAAATATAGCATTGTTCTATTCCTCACGTTCTGATAATCTCCCCCGAAATATAACATTGTTCTATTCCTCCCGTTCTGATAATCTCCCCTGAAATATAACATTGTTCTATTCCTCACGTTCTGATAATCTCCCCTGAAATATAACATTGTTCTATTCCTCACGTTCTGATGATCTCCCCGGGCAGGTCGTGCCCCTGAGGCGAGTCTGTGAAACACTGGGCTGACCCCAAGGACGCCATATAGCCCCCGAAGTCTTCAATACTCGAATCACGGAATTGGGGCTCCAGCTCTA